CGAAACTTCAGGGAAGAGATTCTTTCTCTTTTGATTAAAATCACCCTGTATTCTAATGGGTAGCGTTGTTGCTGAATGTTTCGTCGTTTTGAATTTTAAATGACCATCACCGTAGGAAGTGCTTATTGGAACACATCGCCACCACTGTCTGATATGAATTCGTAGGGTTGTTGTGTCGCTTAGCTGCCTATTTTCATTTGGCCAGTAACTTAACGATGTTTTTCCAGGTTTACGACTGACGATTCACTTCCGGCCGTCGCGGACGTCAACGAATTCGACAATCCACTGTATGACCCGTTCGGCGTCAGAACAAAGACGAACTTTGACTCAAAGCTAGGGTCAGATGGCAAAAGGTGTTCCAACGGCAACTGCAGTTACATGCCAAACAGCTTGGACGGATGTAAAGGCTACCCGTCAGAAAAGATGAAGTTGAACAGCGACAACGACGATAGTTCTGAGCAGTCGGCGACCTCAGGTACGGCGGAACGTCGATTGTCGTACAGAGATTACAGTCCCTTAGTTTAAAGACGACGACGGTCGACTACTAAGCTTTGACGAACTAAAACATCAGGTCTTTAGCTAGGTTTTAGCATTAACTTTAACTACAGGGTGCTTGAATCTACTAATTATTAAAGCCGAAGTCGATCTTCAATCAAGTCAAGTTTACTGCTATCACAGGTAATGACTGCTGATGTTTCAGCAAGTTTGCAAATAGTGAAGCACAAAACAAACGATTCAATATACAGAGGAGAAGACGTGTGCAACAGCACTATTCATGGCAGCGGCACTGTCCAGTTCGACTGGATCAGGTTACTAAAAGTGTCCGGAGGCATAAAATGAGGCATGCCTTGTTTCAGCAGCTGTGTAGAATGGAAGTAACAACGTTTCCCAGAAGAATGGAAGTATGGAGTCATTGTAGTTATATTAAAGAGTAGTCGGGTGACCTAGTGCAAAATTATCATGGCATCACACGGCTGTCTGCTCCCGTGAAACTTTTGTCATATGAAGACTAAAGCAGGCTGAGACTTCGCTTAAATCAAGCATATTTCCTGAAAAAGAACTCTTGTCCCGACTAAATTCTCACTCAGCATAGCACTAAAGAGCAATGTCGACAATTCTATTTGCCTTGGTTTGCCAGTTTTTTCGATCTTAAGGCTGCATTTGAATCACTAAATCGACGTGGACAACCTTCAGATGCAGTTGGATAACTGATCACATCATTTCTTATTTGGTGGAGATGTATGCAGGCACCATGCCTGCTGTCAAAGTTTAAATAAAGCTATATCACTGATTACTTATTAGCTGTGGAGTTTATCAAGATGTGTTTACTCGTTTGCTATTCAACATTGTTCTCGACTATCTTATCCGAAGCATTGCCGGTCGTGGCAAAGAAAGTTTCTTTCTAGGGAGAAGGCAAAGTTCAAGATATCTGACTAGGTATTTGCCTGGAGGACGCAGGTGATATCGTAATAGCGAGTAGTACAGAAAGCGAAGCTGTCACCCCACGGCTTATTTATCCAACACAGCTGCCAAAACGGAGGTAAAAGGTTGTGGAACCTATCATGCGCAGCTGATCCATAAATGGAACATGGCGGTGAAGCTGTTCAAAAGTTTTACTAGTTTAAATGTCTCGGTTCCATCGTCTCCAGCGATGTCCCTATCCATCCAGAGTTAAATAGGAGGATTGCCCTAGCCTGAATGGCTTTTGGAAACCTAATTAACGATTGGACTGAGCAAGGAGCTATTGTTCCTACGAAATTTACCCTACCTTGCCTCTATCCGGTCGTTGTTGTTGTACGGCGTATAGACAGTTGTTCTAACAACGAGCAAGAATTACAGTGGAACTGGTTGCGGTAGCGTTGACCTAGACGCATAATGATGAAGGTCTTTGTAATGAGTGGTTCCAAGTACGTATGATCGGAGTAGATATGGAGATTAGATAAAGTGGTTCGCTCTTTTTGACAAAATAGTCGAGCATACACCATTTACTTCATCTCATGATCTTGTCTTATGGGTCGAAATACGGCAGACTGGTTCAGGAAGTCAGCATGTAACATGGAGGAACATGGTTGAGGCATATGTTTTTCTGCAATACAGTTGTAACATGACGCTACATCACATACCAGCGACTTTCTTCTTATGATGATTATCTCAACGAACATCGACAACAAAATAACTGCTTGAAAGTTACACTTTTGGCGTACATAATGTGCCTCGTCCCATATTGATGACGGTGTTCAGTACATAGCTGTGTACAGATCTACTTTAAAAGTTGGCATTAATGTCGGTTTTTCCAAGGTAATGATACTAAGGAATTGATACAGAACAAGACAGATGTTTTTTGCAGAGTTTTAGACGAAGTACAGCAGTTTAGACACAGCGGCACCGTCAATTCGAATGAGGGTGACTGCGATCAACATTCATACAAGAGAATTGGAAAGTTTTCTTGACATTTTTTTCAGGAGCCTATCGGAAATCCTGCTCATACAGAGTATTAGTCATTGCCACGAGCCATCTTACATACTTCAGTCAGTCTTTTTCTATTACGGTATCAAGCATGATGACGATTAACCGGTGCCACGGTATCCGAGACAAGCAGCACCTTCTTACATTAGTTAACACGGACGCGTCTAAGTTTGTTATACTGCCTATTTTTGCGATCATCATCTTGAATAGCTTTCTTAAGCATAGTGCAGTGGATTGTAGTCTCGCTTTACACTTTAAATGCGTCTTTACTCTAATTCCAACAAGATGTTAATTTTAATTATTAACAGCTAATTATTCCCCCCCCCCCCCC